ATTTACTCCGTCATCAAATACTTACAGAAGGCCCCACTATGAGACAGCTGCTGTGATGAAATAAACAGCACAGACGAAGTTCTGCTCTCACTTTAAAACAAAAGCACCCAGTGCTGTACACAGTACACTGGGGAGATTTTTCTCTGAGGCAACTTTGTAAATCATGAAGCTGTCCAGATGTATGACTGGTGTCTCATAAATTATACGCCTATTTGTGTGTGTGTGTGTGTGTGTGTGTATTTGTGTCTGTGTGTGTGTTTAAGGGAATTCTTCATACTTCATAACTCTATTATTTAACTGTGAGAGGAATATGATGTTTTTCTCTTACACATATTCTGCATACATCCAGCACCAAGAATAACATTTTGTAAAACAATACCAAGTGCAAAGGCCTCCTTTGGTTCTACATAAATATTGCCAAGGGGAAGCTAATTAATATGCTAAACGCTTATTTTACACACTGAAAGTGTTCACATTTTTAGTTAACAGTTACATAGACACATGACCTCTCCCTTCCATCTCTAATCTCAGTTCAAATACATTTCAAAATACTTCTTGCTTCCATTTCATGGCATTCACCGTAAGAGTACTTAACTCAAACTTGCATGTTTGCTTCTCTTCCTTGATCTTAGAGAGAAAACTATAAGCAGTTTCAATTAACACAGCTAAATTATAAACACCCGAAGGTCCAAAAACGTTGACTGAATTTTTTTCCCTTATTTGTAATGAGATGTGTTATATTACTATTTTCTGATTATTGCTGACTCTCCCACCAGCCCTGACTTTTGAGATTTAATGACAAGTCCAGCAAAACCAAAACACAAGGAAGGAACAACAGAAACCAGCTCCCTCCTTGCGGCAGGCAGAGGCAAACACATCTTTATTAGAAGGTAGCCAGAGAGTGCTATATTTCTTGGAGGCTTTCCCTGTAAATTATTTCTGGTGGAGGCTGGATTTGAGACCTACTTCTGCCTTTTGCTAAGGGCTATTTATGATTTATTTCAACCTTGGCTGACTCTAAGGGGAAAACATGAACAGAAAAATAAAGAAGACAAGCTTGGTCCTCTGTAGTACTCTGTTGCAAAGTACCCTAAACTCTTAAGACATGCACAGTGTTTAAAGGTGATACTTTTATTTCCCCCCTCTCAAAAATAATATTAAAATCACATATCTTTTCAATTTAGAGAACAAATGCCATTGTGATTCTCTTTTTAAAATAGACAAGAAATTTCAAGCTGTGAATCTTTTGATGCAGACTGCTCCTCTGAGAAGTTCTGAAGTACAGTGGGGGAATCTTAAACCGAGTCAAATATTTTTCTTGGGGGAAGGGAGTGATAGGTCGTGGTGAGGTGTGGGTGTCATTAACGTTTCGAAGAGATCCCTAACACTCCAGGGTTACCATAGTGTTGACACATGGTCTCTAATGTCTCAGAAAAGAAAAGAGAAGGAAAACATTCACTGTGCATCTTGGCTCCGAGGGAAACTGTTCATGTGTCAGTTTTAACGGTCTGCATGTTAAAATCGCCTATATGTGTGCTCATAAAATAGATGAGTTCTGTTCTATTGGGTCAGCAATTTGTACTAAAATCTCTGTACATGTGCTTAGAAGATTCATAGCCATCTCTGGTTCTGAATCAGTCGTAAGTCAGTCTGTAAAAACATGCCTAAAAAACGTGCATGGTCTGTGTTGGAGCAAGAACAGAACACAACCTTTAGGACCTGGAAAGCTGCTTTTAGAGAGTGCATCTATTATGATCCTTTCAAGGGATGCCTGCAGCTACGTTTCAGTAGGTTTTACGCTATCTTGCTTTTTAAAAATCAGGAGGAAAAAAAATGCTACACTGCAAACTGTTTGACGGGTCTGAGGTAAGACGCAGGTACACGGATACGTGGTCATAGCCTCAGTGATGCTCAGATGCTCTCATTCTGCCTGGGCCCATCTCCAGCACTCCCCACAGGCAAGCCGCCAGTCCCTTTCATCTGGTTTGCTCCGCCCCTGCCATGCCCATCCCATAGCCAGAGTGTCCTTGCATGGAACAGCACGAGGGCCCTGCTCTGCTCCAGCAGAGTCACAGGCCAAGGCCCCTCCAGATAGCACCTTCTCACTTTACCTCACCTCTTCTCAGGTGGCCTTCAGTGGGACAGTATCTCTTTCTTTTTCTATTTATTGAGCTCCCTACAACAAGCCCTGTAGCGGTTTGACAGAAATGTTCCCTGTAGTCTTGGTTTGGGCATTTAAATGCCTGGTCTCCAGTTGGTGCCACTGCTTGCAGAGGCTTAGGTTGTGTGGCCTTGCCGGAGGAAGGGTGTCACTGGGGGCAGGTTTTAAGGAATTTTGCCATTCCCAGTTGACTCCCTGTCTCTCTGCTTCCTGTTTACAGTTTAGGAAGTGCTCCAGCCACCATGCCTTCACTCCACCATCATGGGCCATTATCCCTCTGTGATCATAAGCTTACATGAGCCTGAGCCTCATTTTCTGTACGTCCACCTTGGGTGTGATGTTTTGTCACCACAGTATAAAAGGTGCTGAAGGAGTCTGCTTGGGCCTTTGATTTGCATTCCCCCCTTTCTGGAAAGTCCCTTCCATGTGGCTGTGTCCCAGTCCCATGAGTCTCCCTCCTCAGTGACACACTCTCACTGTACATCACTAGCGCCTCTCATCCTTCACAGCATAAGCTACACTGGGAAAGAAGGCCAGGAGCATCACCAAGTTTGTACTTAGCTGTGCTGAGTTTCTTGGTACGAATGTATGTGTGAAAATCGGTAAAAGGGGTATAGAGGCTCTTCCTGCTTCTTTGACTGCCAGAGTGACTTAAGAAGATATAAACTGCTCAACAGCTGGCAGGAATTATATTGTTAAAACCCTCCACATTTTTTTTTCTTATGGGATAAATGAAGTTAATAAAACATACAAAGAGAATATTAAAAAGAAAAAGAGAATGAACAACACTCTGATTCGACCTGGAGCCCTCGCTCTGACTACAGGATCTGTCTCCTGTAGGTGCCAAAAGCTGCTCATTCCTGAAGCTCACATCCATCTCACTCTCAGGTGTAGAGGGTGATATGATAATGAAACCCTGGAGAGATTTAGGACATCTCAGCTAGTCACAGAAACACCCCGCCTGTCAGCATTCATGTCCAACACGCAAAACATGAAGACCGGGTTAGCATTTCATCTCCCCGCTGAAAGCTGAGTGCAGGACAGGCCCTATTGATGGCCACGGATGGGCTAGGGTTTATAATCTCACCTGATGTGTCATGAGAGCTGCTGTGTGCTATTTCCATGTGTAGCCATAGCAAACTAAAGAGCTCTGCGAAGAACAATTATTTTATGAGAAATTAGGCGACTTATCTTTCAGGCATTTGCCTATCTTCACCTGTCTTTTCAACATGTATGATGTTCTCATGTGCATGTGATTTCAGGTCTGAAGACTGGTGTAGCAAATGTTTCATTTCCTTCTTTAAATTTCTAAAGAACACTCTTTATTTTAGTAATTCAGAAAGGTACCATTGGCAGCAAAAATCACAGATGACAGACAGCAAATTAACGGTGATTGTGGCATGATTAGTTGAGATTACATGCTGTGGAGAGCTGTGATTTACCAATTTCAGTGTCCTGCTGTTGTACTAGGAATAGATACTGACCAAAATGAGGCTATGGTTCAGCCCCAGTGAGCCCTATGGAATTGGAATGAAATCTGTGTGTATTATGGTATGTCATAGTACTGATTAATGAAAGACTCTTTGCTGTTAACATGCTTAGCTTTCTCCCAGACCTACCCAAAACATTGTCTCATTTTAATAAAGCTGTAAGATATAACCTGAATGAAAGGCTGAAGTCATGTAGGCAATTCCAACTTCCAAACCCAATTCTTTGAATAGGTGCCTCAATGCTGTCATTTTTTTTTTTTTCTTTTCATAACTAGGTGAAATGTATTGGGTGTCTTTGTATGTGCCTATACATGAAAAAGTTTGTAAAACTGTTCTTAGGGGAGAGGAGGAGATGAAAATTTAACACAAACAACGATGACAAAACTCAGATTGTAGGTGTCACCGCACATCTTTCTGAACCCCAGGTGCAGGGAAATAATGACTTCCATAACCACGAGCAATGACTTTTTCGGAGGGAAGATTTCAAATAAACGTCTGTTTGCTTTAGGTGAGCTTCACTGAGTTGCCCTTATTTGATTTCAGAAGCTCCTGAGGGAGAAGATTGCAGGATTTCCTGCTTGTAAAATGGAAAGAACACTTTGCTGAACTTGTATGACATCATCTGAGGCATTAAAGGGCAGATAATCGTGGGTGCTCTGCCTGTTTGCCAGAGTCTTCTTTGCCTCAATCTACTGCATTTCCAAATGTCAAAGCACTCTAAACCCAAACTTTATAGACTGCAGAAGTGGGGAAATATCAGGATAAACCCTCTAACTTTTGTGAAATGTTTTAAATAATCGTTAGATGGTGCTTTGTGAAGCGCTGTGGCCATACATGGACTGCCTCATATGTCCTGTGAAAACTAAACAGTTTAATGACTGTTGAACAGAGTCTTTCTCTGTTTCTAAAACAGTCATGAAGCTGCTCTTTCCAGGTCACACCTGGATCATAATACAGAGAAAATCAGTTTGTGAAAGGGAATATAATTAAACTAAATTAATTTTACCAATCAATACAAGACAAACACAAGGGAAATAATAATTTCCTTTGTAAACGTTAAACATTGACTTCTATTAAAAAGGGTAAATGTAGCTGCTGTAAAAAATTATATATATATGTATTATAAATGCATATAAATAACAAAGTTATAAGCAAATTGTTTTTAAGTTGATATTGCACAAATATTTTGAAATGCCATTAAAATAGTTGCAACTAATGCCAAACTACTTGAAGGATCTTATTCTAGGAATATAATAGACATGCTCTTTCCGAGACTAAATGGATTTCTTTATTATGCAAAACCTCTGAACAATAACGTCAGGAAGAAAGGTGAAAGAAAATGGTCTCACCTCATATTCAAAGTCTTCTGCTCTGTCGGCATCAGCGGGCAAGCTGGGAACATACTCATTGTCTTCGTAAAATCCATTCTCCATCGGATGAAGAGAGTGGCAGCTGTGAGGAATGCAGAAACAGGGCAGCAATGGATCACCGGGATTGCTTTCATGATTAAAATGGAGGTTAGAATTTTACCTTACCCCTTTGTCTCTTAGTTAAGGGTTAAGGGATTCTGCCTTCAATAGAAGCACTTGTTTGTCTTTCTCTTCATTGGTGAAACCAATCTATGCTCTATTTCTGAAAAGTAAGGGGCAGGCTCTGGGTTCTAGCTTCACTTTGTGGTGAGCCCAGCAAGAGTTGTTCTATGGTACTTCATGGACACCACCTAGCCTGTTTCCATTCCACCAAGTGTGACAACACCTGCATTAGCGTATTGCAGTTAGGACTGCAGCCTACCCACAGGGGTGCACTGGGGTGCAAGACCACAGGTCCCAACTGGCCGTCCATTGGCATGTTCAAAGGCACATATTTTTCAGACTAGAAAAGATACACACATTGCTGTCGTTTCTCAAGCCTCTATCCCATCATTCTCTCTTATAACCCAACCCTCCCCTTTGATAAAGGGCATGTGCATGAATAGTGAAAACAAACAAACATTTTCCTGATGACGGCCCTTTGCCATTGTGGGCCCTGAGTAAGCTCAATTAGCATAGACTAGCTCTCCCTTGCCTAAAAGATGAGGCCTATGGTGATGTCCTTGCAAGCAAGCTAAGAGTAAGGGCTTGCCTGCATCTTATTACTACTGCTCTGGCTGCTGGCCTGCTCAAGATTAAATAACATGAGTGCAAAGAACACAAGAAGTATGAGGAACATTCTGGCTACTTGTCAACCAGGTAGCTACAACCTCCTTTCCACGTAAACAATTGAAGGTGGCAACTTTTAAATGGTCCAGGACATCCATATCTTCCCACTGCCCTTCTGCTAGTAGGAAGGGAACAACATTGCCGTAAGAAAGACCTTAGTCGTTTCACAGCTAAGATTTCCCGAGTGCCTACCGGATGCAAACATGCTCGTGCACAAAATCCAATTCTCACTCTCTTAAATGAGGCAAGCCTCCGAGTGGCAGTTTTACTACAAGAAAATAATTATGGACATTGTGGAGTCGCGTGGTGGGGACGGAGATGCTGCGGGACTTGATGAAAGCATCTCTCCCCACCAGTTAAAGAATGCTAGCCTTTGCACTATTAGAAGCCAGACTCTGAAACTTCCAGCTAGGAACCGTTGTGTGCGTCTCCTCATCTGAAACGGCAAGAGGGTGCTAACATAGGCAATCTGACCTAAGACCGCTGTGAGGACTTGACAAGAAGTAACATAAAACACTTGGACTATTACCCAAAATGTGTTAAAGTTAGATAATAAAAGTTAACTTTCTGCTCATTCAAGAAAGCATTTCCTGCAAGGCTACTTACTACGTGCCAGGATGTACTCATGAAATTCATGTATTTGCTCACCTCTCATTTCCACTCCAGAATATAAGTACTAAGGGCTACTGGCTTTATATCTGTTCATAGTTTCATTTTTTATACATACTGCTGTGCCTGATATAAGAGCTAGTATTGTACAGTGGGGGAATGAACATAGACACATAGAAGAACAGGGTATGCCCTCCTGCTGGCTGAGGCCCCAAGAGGTAGTTTCAAAACTTGTTTGTACATTAGAATTGCCTCAAGGAGTGCTTGAGGAACTGTTCTTGCTTGAGTTCACTCTAATATTTCTTAATTAAATGGCTAGAGTCCCAACTGAGGCTCTTGTAGTGTTCCACAGTGTTCCCAGGTGAGCCCGTTGTGTACTTGTGAGTCACTGAAACAGATTATGGAAGTAACTAATGGGCTGAGACCAGGCATAGAAATATGGGTGTCTTACAAAACAGAAGCTGGCATACAGAGAGCAGTGAAAATGCAGCCTAAACTCACCGTAGCTGTGAGGAGGCGAACTCCGGACAATTCGTGAAAATTACTTAACACAGAGAACAAAATGTGTGGGACAGAACCCAGACAGGTGACATTGTTTAACTAAAATACCCCACCTTTAAATTTTGTAAAATTGTTAAGAAAATTCCTTTAATTGCTGCTTATTTCAGGGCGTTTGTGTTTGCTCTGTGAAAACCTGGATCCTTTGTTTGTATCTCAATGTATCTGGTAATTGGTTTTTTTGGAGAACTGTTGCAGAATTAAATCAATTTCCTAGACGCTTTTGTGAAGAAAGGGAAAGCAAGGGAGAGCAGGTGACTCATGGAGGAGAGCCTGGTGCCAGTATGTCACTTTCACCGGAGCCTTAATGAGGATTTTTGGCTGCTTTGGTGGAAAATAGTTATTTCCCTGACTAGTACTCTGAGCCTTGAAGGGTAGAGAGAGGAAGGGTAGCTAAACAGAACCAGGTTTTTCACCTCGGAAAGTCCGATTCCAGTCTGCAGCTAACAGTGTGGCCAGGAAGGATAGCAGGAGGGACAGTTTAGAATCAATTGTAAGTATGCACAGTGGGGACAATTTTCTAAACAGAGGTAGGAACCTGTCCCTAGGACTATCAGCTTCTGGGGTGTGTAGCTTTTTCTAATGCCCACTTTTTAAGTAGTGAATGACAAACAAACAGGGCTTTCTGAGAAAGGAGAGAGATACCTGTCTGAAAGCAGAAAGGGACAGGTGTCCGGCACCGGAGGGGTGAGAGGTCGAAGCTTGGCCAGGGCCATGATGTGTTCAAATGTGATGTCAGTCTGTGTGCTGGCATTCGTGAGCTGTACTTCTGGGACCACGCCGTACGTCGGCCGGCTGAGAGGAGTTCTCCTTAACACCTGCACCACGATGGGCTCTTTGGCGTTTCGAAAAGCTTCCACTGCCTCTTCATGGGTGGCCTTTGAGAGATCCTTGCCATTGACCTGTGAGGACAAAAGGACAGTGCACGTCTCAGAGTAAAGAACAGAAAGCTTGCAGGACAGACTGAGCCGCTCTCATATGAATTGTTTGGATGAATACTTAATCAGTCATTGACATCTGTTGAACTGTCTGCCAATGTAAAGAAGCAACAACTTAGAAAAAACAAAAACACTTTTCCATCAATGTGAAATTATCTGGAATTTAATGAAACACCACAAGAATTATTAAAAAGGTTTAACGGCTTAACACCGCATTAGAAAAAGTTTGCCAAAACTCTTCAGCTAGGTAGAAACATTGCACATGCATGCGTACAACACTTAAAAATATTTCCAGTCTTTTGTGATATTTTTAGTACTTACCTAAAAATCCATCTGAAGCTTACTTTTTCAGAATATTGTCCACTTTTTAATACTCATCTTTATTCAAGACCATGCTATTGAATGTGTGCATCAGATAAAACCATCACAGTCCAGCATGGCCCATCAGCCATTGATGTCACTGATAAGGTTTTTAACCTGCAGAGCCATTGGATTTACCCAAGACCTGCTGAGTCAGAACTAGCATTTTGATAAGATCCCAAATGATTCATACATGCTTGAAAGGAATGTTATTCTAAATCCCTCTGGAAGGGACACCACACCATGCTGGATCCTCACCTATATTTGTACCTAACTCTTCAAGGTAGCTTCAGACATAAATGATGGGTGAAGTTCGTCTCACTTTTCCATTTTCATCCCCAGGCAGTGACAGACTTACTTGCATTTAGAAAGGGAAAAGGTCATTCTCTTGTGGGACTCTCCCTCCCCTGTCTTCCAAGGGCCAGCGATGTTCCTCAGTGTTTTTAACACTCAGACTTTCTCCTAACTCTTTCCCAGAATGCTCTTAAATACTGTCAGACTGTTGCCCTCAAATATGTCCAGATAACACCACCCTGTGAGTGGAGGTCCTTCTAGTCAATATCCCGAAAAGACAGAATTATCCAGAATTAAATTAATCTTGGTTCTTGCATTTATGAAGACGTACTCAGTAGCAAAACAGTGTTCCAAACACCCTGGAAATGGCGTCATTTCTAGACCTCTAATCTAAGCTGCTAACCTGTTGGTGAAGCCGTGGTAATTGCCCCGAGCTGGCAACTCTTTAAAAGCCCTGAGTGTCCAACAAGGAGAGGAAGTCTCGCTGGCTGTGGGACAGTGGCTGACACTCAAATGTACGTTTCATCTACACTCTCTCCCCGTGTAGACGAAGAAAGTGTGCATGCTCGGAACAAGGGTGCGGCAACGGGTAAACGATACGATGCCAGCTGAAAGCGTCCTGTCATCCGGAGACGAGCCTAATGACGTAGGGTAGCTAATTTACTCAATGGACCCTGGAAGAGTTAACGTGCCCTCAAACAATGAGCAATTAGGTTTTCCGCACCACTGAAACCCATGCCGTTGCTGGGTCACCCAGGGAGACCCTTGGATGGAGATCTGGGCGACACGTGGCACCAGCCTGCGTATTCACATTCTCATCCTTGTCTCTGTGGACCGGACTTGGACAATGACCCTAAAATTTCACTGACACAACCTCAGAGTGTTTGACTTGGGCATGTAGGATATGCGGACACAGGACGCTTGAGTACGCAGTAGTTTATTCCTTGAGCTTGTTCGGGATGACTGTGCCCCGAGGTCAGGGCCACCTCCAGCTCTCTGAGGATGGAGAACTAGAGAATGATCAACAGAGGCTAGGATGTAGGACAACCCCAGCCCTGTGATGAACAGCGTCCTCCTCCACGGCTCCCAGTGTGGTCAGTATTTTTAAGTTTCCGATTATGTAGATGAGCGAGCAGCAGTGAGAGGCTTCAAGGGTCTGGACAGAGGGAGAGCTGCCCACTCATTTCCATCATTCGTCCTCAAATTCAGTGATGTCTCTCTTGCCGTGTTCCACACCATTTCCCTCTGAAAGAACACCCTAGTATTCCGATTTACCATCTCCTGTAACAATGGTAGTATGTTGCCTTTACTGCAGTCTTATAGCAAGAACAGTCTCTAGCTGGCAGTGGCAGGGTGAAGTAAAGGCAGCCCTGTCCTTTTGAAGGAGCTTTGAGCAATATCTACGAAAAGGAAAAGCATATGGCCAGGCCTGCCTCAGCCACACATTAGAGTCTACTAGTGCATAACGTGTGTCTGTCAGCAGGCACTAGGCAGACAGTGCCATTAATCTAGTGTTTCCCTGAGGTGGCTGGGTGTCTTGCCTATGTGTTAACCTAATTTTCATGTCTCCGTATTTGTTTTTAGTGACCTTCAAAGCAAACGTTACTTTAAAAATTGGGTTTCCAGAGACTGTGGAGTGTGCCATGTAAGATGGCAGTCTAGCTAGAAACCTCACTGCCAAAACTTGTGAAAACAACAACAAATTTAAGACACACTAAGCTCTTGCTCTGCAAAGAGACAACAAGATCTATAAATGGAGAGAGGGGTCATAGTCCCTGGGAAGGAACATACTATTATACTGGTAAATAGTAATGATTGTCAGACTGCCATCTAAACATTTACGTTTGGACCCATAGACCTGGGCTGTTCTCAGTCTTAGTTAGAAGTTTCCTTTTAACACTGAGCATTGCTTAATACAGAGACACATAAATGTTGATAGCACTGAGAATAAATTCCAGTGAGTGCTTAGCTATAAATGCTATCCCTATCCCCAGGCTTGTGAAACATCCCCAAAGAAGGGATGAAATGTAAAGAATGTAGAAGCTAGAGGAGGAAAGGTGGGATGCAAAATGCTTGTCATGGCTGTTGCATTCACAAACTCTAGAAGCTGTGGATACCAGCACAAGACCTTTGCAAGATCAAGGCTATCAAAATTCTGGCATGGACACAGTAGGGGCTCAGGGGATTCACCCCTAGCTGAGAAGCCATTGGCAGTTCATGGCTGTTGGGAGGGGTGAGTCCTTTTCCTTTGGAGATGTGGTAGGCATCCAGTGCTCCAGTGGATGGCTCCTCACCTGTGTGCATATGGCTCAGTGAGTTAAAACCAAAATAGGAGAAAGAAGACATGAAGTTCCAGAGGGGATATGTTATAGAGGGTCCAGGAAAGTCGGATGGTGGCAAGTGGGTGACAGATACGGTGAAAATACACCTCATACATACATAAAACTCTCAGAAAACAAATAAATATTATATTAAAATATTTTATGTGCTAAGATTAATTTTGACAATTTTAGTCAGTATAATAAAAACTACAGAAGTGAAATTTTTATTGGAAAGTATTTAAGGATGCAAAAAACTCCACTTGTTCTCATGTCAACATTCAGTTGTATACCAATAATATTAACATTTATACAGTAAGATCACTCACTGTTCACTCTAAGACCTGTATACCTATTCATTCACAGTTATGGTATTTATATGCAAATTTAATTCTTTGCTCTAAGGACAGTCAAATATAATCTTTAAAAAAGACAGTCAATGTAATCTCAAATATTTTACTTTCCTATTGGGCGATGCTCTTTTCTGTCAGTTACCATATGGCTGACCTCTATTTTCATAAGCCATTTAATATCCCTCCAAGTAAGGAAGTCTCTGACCTTTAAAGGCTCTGATACCCCATGTGATCTCCTGGAAAATGTTAGGACTACTAATACTAAACACCATTTTTTCACTTCACTTGAAGTTCATCAACATATCGTTAGCCTTCCAAAAGGTCAGCATTTTATAAATTACGACTTTCACAACAGAAGAAAGAAGAGATTAATTAGGGTTTTTTTTTTTTTTTTCCTGGCAGTTGCCTTGTTCAGTTATTTACAGGTATGGCCATCAGGAAGAATACTGACAAAATAGCTAACAATAACTCTGTGAAGAAAATTGTGTGCAAATCAACGAATACTTAGTTGTGAACAGATTTTCAGGTGCTGAGGTTTTTAAAGCATCCCAGGATTTGGGGTCTCACAGAGCCTGCCCTTGTGATTTTGGCTCTTCATTGAGGTGCCCGCTTCTCTTTTCCTTCTATGGTTCAATCTTAAATATGACTTTGTGTAGATGGTGCACAGTGCCTATTTGTTGTGTTATTTCAGACTGGAAGTAGAGAAGCTCTGTAGAAATGGTGCTTGCCTGTTCTAAGGCTAACTGATGCTCAGTGTAAAACATGGTGATGCTTTGTTGCTTGAAATGGGAACATTGACTTTTGGGAAGACTAAAGTGGACTTAGAGGCTTGGAAGAAAAACTGATGGAAATATGTTATTTAAAAAAAAAAAAAAAGCCAAGTCACAGGTTAGAGCTCAAAGTCTTCACACATAGGAGATTCCTAAGGGGTTGCAGTTTGACTCACACAAGCTGTAGGAAAGACATCTGTGAAGGGGCTTAACGTGAGAGAGGTCAAGTGTAATAAAGCAAACCGTTCAATTCCACCTGTCACCATATTGACTCTAAGTTTGATAAGGATATCTCAAGCATAGTATGGTTTTATTTCAATGCAGTAATTATAATTTAATTTCAACACAACCCCAAACATCAACGGGATGGCCATTGCAGAGGGTGAGGACTTCGATCTGAAAAGATATGTAAGCCACCTGATTAAGGTAAATGGGAAAGAAGACACATTGTGCAAAAACAGGGTACCAGATAGGCCAAGGCAAAGAAGAGAAAGGAGAGATGCAAAGCATAGAGGTTGCAGGAGAAACAGTGGCAAGGGACTATCTTTATGCATACTAAATGGTGGACTAGATAGTTGCAAGATGCTATGCTCATGCAGATTTCATAGTGGTAGAGGGCTGTCCTAAGGCAGACTAGGTATTGGCATGGGCCTATGCTCATGCAGACTAAATTGGGGACTGGAAGCAAGAGAGAATTAAGTGAATCAGCTACATATTCTTGTTACCCAAAGAGCAGGCACGATGGGATGCGAATGTCTGATTGCATGAAGCCCTTTCCCAGTCAGTTCTACATTGAAAAGAAGTCCTAAGATTATGTATCTGAGTGGCGGATTGTAATTAACATGTAGAAGCTTCCAGTAAGAAATAAA